GGTTAGTAGCGGGTCGCAGCTTCCTCTTCCGAGTTGCGCAGGCAGGGATTACCATGTCCTCGCTAGGCGAGTCAGGATCTCCGGGAGACGCGAAGCGGACGGGCGTCCATTGCTCGCTCCAGTCTGGTTCAACCCCGTCGTAATACACTATGTTGGCCAAGTTTTCTTCGTCTTCTTCGGTAAGTGGCCCGCATTTGTCTTCCATCATATTGGCCTCGTTGACGAGATATTGTAGCTCTAGATCCGGCTTGTCGGGATCGTAGCTTTCCGGTGCGTATTCTTCTGACGCGTAGCGTTCAGGCGGATACTGCAGTTCAGGTTCGGGCCTCTCAACTTCAACGTCTTCAGACTGATATTCCTCCGTCGTAGGTTCTTCAACTTCTTCAAACAGATGCAAGGGCTTCGTCGTCCTGGGACGTCCGGCCACCATCCTTCTTTCCGCGCCGTCGGCCGAGCGTCTCAAGGGCTTGCGGCAGTCTCGCGCAAAGTGTCCGGACTCATTGCAATTGTAGCAGCGAGCCGAGGCAGGCGGCCTGCGCGGATCACGACTCATGTTCATTGCGTCGAGATCCATTGGTTCGGGACGACTCGATGAAGCTGTGGGAGTGAGATAGGGCATAGTGGTCGAGGCAGGGCGTATCGAGGACGAAGACGGGGCACGATACTTTTTGAAGGGCCTCAGGGGGCCCGTTTGGTTGGCCGGCGTTCCCTGGGCCAGTTTGTTAAGACTGTCCCACTGTCTAGCAGCCGAGTAATAAATCGCCATGTCTTCTTCAGTGCGAGCCATAAGCTGTAGCGACAACTCCCTCGGGAGCTTCAAAGTAAAGCGATATTTGCGATCGTTGAACGTCATCTCAGGCTGTGGGATCTGAGCTTCGACGTTCTCGAACTGGCGAGTGTACTCAGTAACGCCTCCTCGGCAGTTCAGATTTTCGAGACGAGCCCGAAGCTCGTTAGCGTGAGCGGGGTGAGCCCAGTGGTTCATCATCATTTTCTTCAAGTCATCCCAGGCCGGAATGCGTCCGCCGTTTGCAAGCCTCCGGGCGTGATACCAGGCGAGCGCAGCCTCTCGAAAGACCTGAGTAGCATACTGAGTCCAGCGATCTCTTGGGACCTTGCCGGTGTCGAGCGCGTCCTCAGCTAAGGCTATCCACGCAGCGACGTTGTCGGATGTCTTCCCAGAGAAAGGTTGGACCACTAGTTTTGTGAAGTTCTCCTTAGGCGACGAAGATCGCGGCGGGGCCGCAGGAGCAGCGATAGTGAGATTGGTGTGGGTGAATGCAGTTTCTATTGATCTCTGAAACTGCTGGGACGTGACTACATTACTCTCCACGGCTTGGAACCGCTGCTCGAATCCGTGGAAGATAACTCGCATAGCTTGAAATACCTCTGGTGTAAACCCCTGCTGCAGAACCTCGATGGGAGTCATCCCTGCTCCCTGTCCTGCCGGGGCGTTCGCGTCTGCCATCGGCGCACTAGTACCGCGGGCCTACTAAGTGGGTTGCGCAACCAAATGTGTGTCGCGACACTCTCGGAGTGCGTGTCCCGCTGACCGAAGAAAGATCAGGGGCGGCGCTATTACAGCGTAGTAAAATAGTACCTTGATTGACTTGATACTATTGACGCGCTTTCTTCTTCTTGTACGATAAACGACTGTTCTTGATTCTTCTGAGCGTGAGCTAAGGTTAGGGTAGCCTCACACTTGATCAAGTGTGATGTCGCCCACCTTCGTGTGACTGTTGATGACTAAGGGAAACTCGAAACGGCAAGAAAGCAGGCGAGAGAATTCTGGGATTCCTGTCGCAAAACTAGCTGTTTAAATACACAAAATACTACGCTTGCGCGTCGCGCTGACGCGGCCTACTCCTATTCATACAAGGGATACATCTGAGACAGAGGGAGGATACAATCTCGGAATGCCTGTAATAAACAGGCTTGCGCGTTGCCTTACTAATATCCGCGAGTCACACGACGACGGATGAGTCATGTGTTCACAACAGACACGAGATGATCGATCGATGATCTTCGAAACCCGCGGAAGCCACAGATTGGCGCTAACCCTCATGATCCCGAGAGGTCCGTGCGCCATGATGCCATCCAATGTCTCACCATGCCAAACTCAGACTCGTTCTTGTCCGCGCCAAGTTGAAACATGATATCCGTCAGCAGCGTCATGGCTGTGCTAACCAACAAGTCATATTCTGGTTCTTCTGTGAAGGCTGATAATCATAAGAGGACGGTTTTACAATCTAATGTGATCCGATTTCGGTGTCTCAATTCTATCTGCAGCACTAATTCTGGTCGCTAAACGCCAACGAACTTCCGGGTCTACAATAGAGAATCATCGACGAGCTGGGGGCCGATATCTTCCGAACGCTCTTTCGGCAACAGCGTCACCCAGCGTGTTTTTTCAATTTCGGGGCCCTTCTTGCCGAAGTAACGCTCGCTTTCGAACCCCCATTGATCACTAGCTCGCACCCAGTTCCCGAGCCCATCCACGTACACTGCTAGTTCAGTGTCCACTGGCTCACCAAATTTTGGGATTTTGTTCTCATAAAGGTCCATGAACTTCGCCTCGAGTTCCTTGTGGTAGTCATAAACCCAGTTCATGGCGCCTTGGATATCGGTCTTGTTGTTGTGCATGACGATGGTGATCATGTTGTGGTTATCGTCATCCCGAGCTTGCTCCAAGTTGTACGAAGCGATATCCTACGGCCAGTGCCCGACAGTCAGCCCCCGAAAACGGCGGAAATATGTGAAACCTACATTGCCAAGTAGGATCATGTCAATGGTCAAAATAGTCAATTCTTCGATGACAGGATGGTGAATCGCCTGGTTGGGGATGTTCATGTCTAATTCGAGGATAGCAAAAGATGGCTTGGCGCCGATTGTGTCCCTTCTGACTTCCAGATACTCTTGGATGCTCCGGATATGCTTGTGAGTCCGATCTGCAGCTTGCTGAACCACAGCCTGAAGGTAAGTGCCGAATGTCTTGACGAATCGTTCCTGTGCTTGGGGACTGGCTGTTTTGATTGCGAGCTCCCAGAACCTAGATCGAGTCTGGCGTCAACTTAATGGCTCTACTGTTGCTGTTGTGCCTCACTGTCTGGTAACTTCCCCGCCGACCCATTCGCCTTTGGGGCGAGGTTTGTGTGGGTTGCACAGAGCATCCATGCCAATGTCGGCCATAACCTGGACCTCGTCTTCGTGCGCCACATCTGAGTACTCGTCAAAGACGAAGAACATGTTCATCAAGTCGCAGCCAGTGCGCAGACGGGCTGTGCACCGAGTGTGAGCAAGGTTTAAAGTCCGGTCTGTTCTAGATACCTACCCTTGTCGAGTAAAGGGTACGCAAGAGATGCGAGGCGGTCTGCCAATAGGTGAGCATACTATGGACTTAGCCTGGATACATGTAGCTGTTCGTACTGAAGTCACAGCGATCATAGGCCTCCTGAGCTCTGGGACTAAATGCCCCGAAGCTTCTCGCCCACGCCGCGGATGCTGCTTTGACCTCGGCGTAATGCGGGTTGATATGACGAAGCCATTTCCATTGATCAAGGTTGTTTGGAATGTAGTACCTCTTAAGCATGGTAGTGTCTCAGGTATGAATGCGACCAGTTGCGACGAGTATCTGCTGGAGAGGGGGGTGAAGTATTGGGATAATGAACTTGTTCGGTGCGTTGTGGAACTGGTTTTTAACTTCTCACCTTCCCTCCAGCATGATCGCTAATCCGGGGGGGGGGTTTATGTTACCGGATTCTTGATATCAGATGAGAAGGACCCCAGATATCGGTAATGATCAATCGCAAGGGTAGCTTGACCGTGAAGAGTCGGAGCGCGCTTCCACAACTCCATCGCGGTCTATGAGAAGCTGTTCCCTCCCGATTGGCGTAAAGGACTCGGGCGTCATCACCTCTGCGCGGCCACCCCAGCCCGGTCTCGCTTTCCAGGTATATGGGAGTAATAGGGTAAATGCTTGTGCCGTCTGCTGCCCCTGCCCGGCCAAGGCCGGACAAGCCTTGTGGCTCGAAAGGGTATTAGTGATGTCAAAATTCGGTTTGGCTGGATTTTAGGCACCCACACGCGGCGAGCAGAACAAAGGATGCGGAAGGTACACCTACTACTGAACCTGACATTTCAGGTTTAAAGTAGTTCAGTCCCGATCAGCCTCTGGCTCTACTCATGGGTGCTGATTTAATGACAAAGGCTAGTGGTTTGCGGGCTCGGCCTCAAAACCCAAGGCCAGCCTAAGAGGTCCCCACTTTACAGATGAACCATGGTGATAGTGAAGAGACAAGGAGGTGCCACAATGATCACAGGGAGACAGTGGCAATGATGACATCAAGTTTCATGTGCATCTGTAAAGTTGGGACCTGCCGTCACGAGAAATATTGGGGGGGATGAGGACAGAGTCGTCGGATGATTCATCGGACTCGGGAGGCTGGATCGATGTCGAGAGTAATGGTGGAGATAGTCTCGGCATCAGTGACGGCGAAGACAAGGATAAAAAGTAGATGGCGAGCTCCTAGAAGCAAGCCGCACCTCGTGACGACGAAGGTTTCTTCCATCTTGCCATCCCCGACTACCGACGCACGTCTTTACCTGTAGATTCTTAATCCGGCCAATTTCGTATTAATCAACGACTGACGACATGGCAAATACGAGCTGCCACCAAAGCGGTTGAACGCGGGGGTGGTTCTGCAGCAAAGCGCAAACCTGCATCTCTCTAAGCCATCAAAAAGGCGGCCTCCACTTCTGGCCCGGGCGACACGCCGACATTCGTCTCGAAAAGCGACATTCTCACCCCGCGCAAGAAGACGTAGTGGTTCAGTGAGATTGGCGGCGCACCTGGTCACACACGACTCTGAAAAGCTATATTGAGTCCCATTCTATCCCAATATCCGGGGATGCGTGGAAAGTATCTGCAAATGACGTCCTGTTGACCTCTTGTGACATGAGACTGTTGACTTCGGATGGTATTAGAACATGCAAAAAGTAGTAGCCCACCGCGAGGGTCGAACTCGCAGCCTTCAGATTACAGAGGTGTAATGAACACCCGCCTAAGAGTCTGACGCTCTATCCGATTGAGCTAGGCGGGCATTGATATTCGATTGTAATGTGTGAGCTATCAACTAGTGCTGCTCTGCGTCATAGTTGGACGGGCCGACGGAGCCGCTTCGGGTACGGGCCCTCGGAATTTTGCGACCGGGGCAACCAGTCACCCCAGCCGTAAAGCCACTTTGACACATCATCCAAACGAACTTGGGATCCGTGTGAGTTCGTAGGCAGGGCAGATTCCGGAAGGAAGGAAGAAACAATCAAGGGACATAGGAGCAGAGTGAGCGCGAGGAAGGATATTGACCGAGGTGGCGAGAACTTTGACTCTTTGAGAGACGAGATGAGGGAGAACTGACCTCGACTGAGCCTAAGATGAAGAGGAAGAAATAACACAGTCCTTCAAAAATCACGGAAGGTCGTTCAAATACAGGGGAAACCTTAGCTACCACAGAAAAGGACAGGTAACGAAATGTAAGAGGGACGAGTGTCGTACCGGATGGGGACAAGACAACGACGAAAGGGGTAATGCACCGGGAAAGGGAGCGTGATAGTGATTGAAACGAGTCGAAGAGATAAAAAGAACTGGGCTCGGAACATGTGGTTCACCAAAGTGGCGAGAACGCGTACGGGGTTTGTTTCCTGTCCAGTGTCCCCCCCACCTGTGAAAAACTAACCTGCCATGTTGATGATTGTAATAGTAGCATGAACAATCAAGACTAAGTTAGTGGGATCCTGTGGATGTGGAAGGAAGTGGCGAGGAGGACGAATTACAATCTGAAGTGACACTTGCTACACAAGCAACCCTAGTGCTTAATTATGGTCCAGCGTGGGTCCGAGAAGGTCATGAAGGAGCGGAAAGGCAAGGTTTTAGGTACAACGCTCGCCTTGCAACGAGTACTCTCGTTCCTTATTCTGGGTCATCAAAATACCATCTCTTGAAAGCGACCATTATCTCGATAATGATGGGCAATATCAAGATGATAGAAACAATCTGACCAAAACCCCAATAATCCTCACCGGTCTGAACGTGCGGGTGATTACGATGAACCTAGGAGAGTTTCCATGAGTACGCCTCCCAAATTAAGAACGAAACGCCACAGACTATCAACTCGGTGCTCGCGACACCGTATGCCGCAGGTCTGGTTTGGTGAGTTAGTATTATTATCGTGAGGCGAAAGTACTGAAGAAACGCACATGATCCAAGAGAACCACGGAAGACCGTCGGACTCGTCGGACTCGGCGCGCGATAGTTCCATAAGGTCACGCCACACGATAGGCACTGTGCTAAGACAGACCAACCAGGCGACCACGCTTATAGCGAAGCAAACGATAAACATGATCCGTAGCCAGCCAGCGGTCGCCCGGACGGTGACGAAAAAAAAGACATATTTTACGAGGTCGTTGCACTCTGGCTGTGCACCGAATTGCGAGCCTTTGGCCCACACGTAGAGCGTCCAGGGAATGAAAATAAATAGCACCTGTAATACCTGGAAGGCAATGGTTATCTTCATTTTTAAACCGAATCTATCGGCAAAGAAAAATCTCTTTATGCCTGTATTATCGTCTCTGATCAGCACTACAGTGTATCCTCATGAGGACGCCAGTCATACCGTAGATATGAAGAACTGTAAGGCATACTAGCATATGCATCACGAATATGGCATGATACAAGTCTAGCTGTCCTTGTATGGTCTGGACGAGGACAGTGATGAGAAGGGCGAAACCATAGAAAATTGCATTCATATAGAGCGAGTCCAGAAGTTCGGTCGTGTATGTATTCTGGGGTATTACAGCCACAAGGAGTATTGTGACATAGAAATTGAGGCGAGTCTGTGAAGTCAGTTGGTCGGATCTGTAAAAGAGTAGCAGAAAGAGCAGCAGGACTGACTCCGATTCCTGCTAAATCAGGGTTTGATAAAATTCCAGTGCAGCTAGTATCGGCCATTACTAGGCGGTGTATGGATTTGTGATCGCGTGAGTTCGCAGGCGGAGCGGATTCCGCAGAGAAAAGAGGAGAGGAGAATATAGCCAAATGGCCGCAGGGACGAGAACGAGACCAATATGACCGAGACGATGGGACGAACTGCGGGCGCCCTCGATTGGGCCTGACTCGAGCTGATCACGTAGAGTAAGGGGACAAGTAGCGACCGAGCGCTGTTTTGTTCAGCAAGAAATGGTGGTTTTGATACAGGCAGATCAGTAACTAGTACAAGAAAGTGTTAGAGTAGGGGAGGGGAGAGTAAAGGTGGCACGAGGGACTGATAGGGCAGAAAAAGGCAGGAATGAGATAATCTGGGCAACGTACTGTTAAGTGCGAATCCGAACAGCCGTGTGTGTGATCCCTGAGTTGCTGCGAGATAGTCGATAAGGAGCGAAGATGTAAGGTTTCGGGGCCAAGCGCAATGGTGGTCTTACAGCAGATTTGCTTCGATCACTAAAAGGGATGGAGAAACAAGTATGCGCGAGCACAAGGGGAACTGGGGAAGGACAGACGAGAGACTTGGGTGGGTACCTGGCAGAAAAAGGTTTGAAGGGCCAGCCGTTTGGGCAAGTGCATAAATCCTAGTAAAGACATACTAGGGGACACGACCATTAGAGCGCCGTACAGGACGACGCCCAAAAAAGTCCTAGTAGTAATTCAGAATTAGCCTAGCTGCGAGTGCCAGTGTCTGAAAGAAGCCATCTAAAATGTGGACAAGAACCATCCATCCTCTCAGTATTACTGTACCGGTATAACATTTGACGCACAGCAGATTCCAAAGATAGGCCCTTGTAGTTTCGAGTTCACCAACTTTCAATATTCAAAGCGGGATTTCACAGTTAGGTAAGATACAGGTCGGGAAATTGGTCACGGCCTCTTGCAAAATTGGGGTCCCCCTCCGACTCCCATTCAAGCAATAATATTCAAGTTCCATATCCCTTGATATGATGGTCCACTAGCACTTGTTCTCCTCAATATTTTGCACGGCAAGGACGTTTTCCTTTCTGCCCGGTCTCGGTTGACGTACTCAACGACCGTATCTCGACTGTCGAGCATTGGCAATGAGCATTGGTCTGACCTTCGGATTAATTGGAGTGAGACCTGGTCTGGCGTACGTCGTTCCCACGAAAGGAAACATTTTACAGAGGGCGTAATACGTGACAGCGTTTATATCTCATCTATCTTTACTGTAATTTCTGTCAGTTAGTTTTTAACGCCTGATTGTATTGTATCGCATCAAAACTGAGACCAGTGAGGGTCACCAGAAACGGTTCGGGACGGTTTCACATATGTATGATTCATATTCCAAAGAACACTTTTGTTGGCGTACATATATGAACAACGAAACTTGCGCGAATGTGAAGAAGTACAGGTCATAATGAAAAGGCAACCTAAGGGAGCGGGGTATGAAAGGAAGGAGTGATGGATGGGCTGTATAGTAGTATCATAGTCAATATAAAAGTCGGGGTTTTTATACATGTCACAATTCATCAAAGGGTCATTTCACTTTTTGCGTATCGTTTATGGCGAGCCGTTCAGGCTCGGGTGCACGAACGACGAGTGCTGCGTGGGCGACGAAAGCTTTTCAGGGAGGAAGAGCGGGACCGTCGGTATGAGCTCAAAGACATGCTGCGCAACGCCACGCCCGGCGCCCGGACCCGCCCGACCCTGCGCCGAGTCGTCTGTGCGCATCACGCCATGCACGCGCGCTTCTTGCGACGGTGCTTCTTCCCACGTCCCATTGGGACCCGGCGCGATCGGCGGCGCCGACCCCCCGCGCCCGTCCCAGATGCATCGCAGGTCGTTTCCAGGGATGATCTGGCAAAGCCGCCCAGTTTCGATGTGTCGCACTTCGATGAAGCGCGAGTCGAAGATGAGGACGTATGGTGGGTGCCAGGCGACGTGCTCGGCGGTGCCTTCCCATTCGATGGTCCCCTTGGTACGACTTGGGTCGCCGTGCCGGTTCACATACAACCCGAACTCTGCGAAGGACGGTCAGCGTACTGATAGAGAGAGCACCCGAACACTAAGTATTACCATCGTAGCAAAGGAGGAATTCGTTCTCGCTAGAGCGGTACATTCCCATTGGACGACACGATTCACAACGTTTGGCAAGTTTCTCATGGCGCGGGTCATCACGTTGTGGAATCGTGACACTCTTGAAACTACATATCCCACACGTCAGACATCGAAGACAAGGGACGTGATGAAGACTAACTCGGAAAGGTCCATGATTTCGAAACCCTTCGTACAGAGGATGGCGATCCTGGCTTTCAAGAAGATGAGGTCGTACGACTCGGATGGTAGGAAAAAATCCTGTCAAATAGCGTTTAAGGTCCTGCCAAGCCGTGAGAAGGGATATACGTACTCTGTAAATGCGGAACCACTCCGAGCGGGGTTGCCGCAGACCAAATCGAGAACTCAGAAACACGGGAGCCTTAGCCTTCTCGTTTATCTTGCCAACAACAGGCTCAAGTACGCGGAAGACGCTGTCCAACTGGTTGACCCGGTGAGATCGACGCAGGAGTTGATATAACAGAACAACGACCATACCCCTTTTTTCTTCATGTAAATTACAAGGGTCCGTCCTCCGAGACTCCCAACACTGAAGAAGTGTACGTCTTTTGAGCCGTTGAGCTTCTGGGGTGTCTGTGTAGTATTCGCGCTTTGTGGAGATGTGGGTACAAGTGCTTCAATGTGGTATGCAAACAGTGACTAACAAGCGAGCGTCAATCAGATGATCTTGGTAACGCAGAGGGAAAAAACTTACTTTGTCGGCAAGCACGAGGAAGATCCCGAATTCTTCAAGCATCGCACATTGTGTGACCATCTTCAGGTGCAGCACCCTGCGCATGGCTGCAAAAGGAGGATGAGCGACGATTTGATATAACAGTAACGCGATCCTCACATCTGGAATCGTGGCGGAACCCAATCCAAACACCTTCCGCACAACCAACTGCGACGAGGGCACGTCCATCCGCGGTAGCTGAAAACAGATCAGGCTCTCGCACACAATTTCCAAGTAAATCGGCTTACTGAATGGTACGGAACAAGTGACCT